ATTATGGACATTTGGGCAACCATAATGTCAGACACTACACTTGGATTCAGGAGGTGGTTTCCAGGGGCTACAAGCTAGAATTGTGCTCCCAGCCACCTCCCGGGTTCCTGGCTTTCAACCTACCTGCATTACACCGGTTAGCAAGATCTCCATGCTGCCATAACAGGTCTTTTGGAGCAGGGTGTCATTGCACCAGTTCCTGTGGCAGAATGGTTTCAGAGAATCTACCACAATCTGTTTAAGGATCCCAAACTCAAAAAGGGACATTCACCCCAACTTGAATCTCAAATACCCAAAGGTCTTCATTTGGGCTCAGAAGTTCAGTATTAGAATCCACCATGTTTTAAAGCTTCCCATAATCAGGGAGACTTTCTGTCCTTTGTGGACATCAAGGACCTGCATGTCCCCAATGTTTCCAGCACATTAGCATGTTTTGCTTTGCCCTCCTGCACTTTGTTTGTGACTATGCCATTCAGCCTTTCATCTGCACATCAGGAGTTAGGAAAGTCCTTACTACCGATCTCTTGGAAGATCCTCATGACGAATGCCAGCCTGGGGCATAGGAAGGAGTCCTGGACACCCTGTTGGTGCAGACGACATTACCGGAGAATTCAAGCCTCTTGATCAACATCCTGGATGCCGAGAAGAGGGATGTTCTGAACTCCCGTGAAAATCCTTATTATGGTATCAAGCAAAGGTTAAAAGGAGACTACATCCCTTAAAAGGTCAAGCTAGCCAGATGTTTTGGAAATGGCATCAGCGTCACCGAACCTTTACCATAGTGCTCTATACATTTGTATGGACATCAGACCCATGAGGAACACATGTTGAGATGCTTGCAAAAAGCAAATCAAACCTGAAGCATACAGCTCCAGCCATCTGTTTCCTATGTTCAATAAAGGAGAGCGGTGGAAAGATACTTGAGGGTATCAACCCATTCTGCCACATTTTGATAGACTGAGATCACTGCCAACACAGGACAGAGGGCAGAACCTGTCAGAGCAAACTGTGATTTAAGAAGGGATTTCAACAGCCAGTCAGTAGAATCCTTAAACAGTAAGTCATCCCTCTGTATGTCTCAAGAGTTTTCCTGTTAAAGGTGGGTTATTGACAGATCCACAGCGGGTAAAGGCCACAGTCTAACAAATTCTCTCTCAATGGTGAACAGTTCATGCACACTTCGGTAGGGCCCAGAACCCTTCAGGGTGCTTCCAGTCTGCATACAGGAACACTTTGAATAGTGGGTGTAATGGAAAGGTCTCCACAGCTGTAGAAGCTCTGAAAGACCCAAGGCTGGAGACAGCAGGCCAATCCTCCAAATGCAGGTCAGTGTGTACCCGATCAATAAGGGCCGAGACAACCTCTTACAATTCTGAGGTGACTGCAGTGCCTACAGTGAGACTGTTGGGACTCTGATTTTGAAAGAGAGATGGTCACAGCCATTGGTGACTGGACCTGTTACAAGGTCTCTGAAAGGTCACAAATAAACTGAGAACCTCTGCAGTTAGTATCCTTGAAGAATTGGCTGATTTTACCCACAAAAACTTGAGTGACTGCAGTAATGGCCTCAAAAACAGGGCAAGGGACTTGGCCTCACCAGAGGCAGCCTCCAATAAATGTAGGTCCTATAACTACAGGATCACTGGATTCCAGATAGCAGTCATCAGTGCCTTCTGAAGGTACAGAATAGATGCCCCCTGAACTGTTAGAGTATGAGCTGGGGTCAACCCCAATTACAGACATGTTGCGATCACATAGCAGTAATGCAACTAGGCCCAAAGTACAAAGCATGGCACCAGGTACTCACAAACCCAGGTAGCTGATGAGGGTCGGATGGCTGGAGGTGATCAGATTCACTGTATGTGGGCAGTAAGAAGAGACCAGAGATTAGAGTTTCGTGTTGTGTGTAGCAAAGCAGAAACAGCAGCGGGATGATGCTTCCACCAAGCTAAAAAGCAGGAAAGAGCGTGTACCACTCTACCCAGTGCAAAACATCATCGCTCCCTCAGCATCAACCCTATCTTCTTTCAAATTTCCCACTACTGCCGATTTTATTGGTGTCCAGCAGTACAAATAGTAAGGTAGCTCCTGGTGCTTCAGTTTAACCAGCCAACTCCAAGTGATTCCTCAGACCAGGCAAGCGATGAGGCAATGCCACAACTCTGGACCTGTAAAGTACCCTGCATCTAACCTTTACCAGTATGTAATATCTGGAAAGTGCCACTAGTAGCACCCAGTGCCCAAGGTAACATTCCAGGCTATCCCTGCAACGTCCAGTCCAGTGGGCTCTGGGTACACCAGCCCAAACTCAGGCTACAGAAAGGCTGATCCAGATAGCTGTATGTAGAGAACAGCTCCAGCAGTGGTTCAGCGACAGTATAACCCAATAGTATCTAAATACCAGTGTCCATTAATGGACAAGAAAGAGAGGATGTTAAAAAAAAAATAGTTTGTTCAGCATGGTGGCATGGGACAGGCTTCCTAAAGAAAACAAAAAGAAAAAACTTTTTTTTCTTATTTAGCAAATTTAAAATTAAAGTTTAGTTGGGCTTTAACATTAAGGGAGTTTATTTCGTGGTTGAAAGTCTTGCACTACACACAGCAGCATGGCCTACCCCACATATTTGTTATATCAAATTTTTTCTAGCAACAAACGTTAAACAGTAATCTGTTCCTTACACAGACAGTGCCTCACATACTCCATTTCAGTTCCCCCTCCCCCCCAAAAAAAAGTGTGATCAATATCCTTTCCGTAAATTGTTACTTTGAAGCTGGGCAGTCTAAACTTTTAATTAAAACATACCAACATTACTGTCATTCAATGTTATTAAAGCCTAAACTGAGACAGCTGCTCATCTGATAATGAATGCATTGCATCATGGCTAATTTGTTCATGCAAAGGTAAAACCTTGAACACCCACCAGGAAGTATTTCTTGCTTTTAGGAGTATATTCTGGATCCCACTCCTCCTCTTTAGGACGCTTTTGGAAATTTGGCGATGTATTCACAGGAGCAGCACTTGTCCCAGCAAACACCCCTCGTGCACGACCTCTGCCTCTGATTCGAAACTGCTAAACAATTGGTTTAATTGGCAGTGTTCAGTATGGGCATAGACAATAGTTGGTTGACTTGTGTACAATTAAAAAAAAAAGATACTATTTGTTGACAAAAGACAAAAATATTGAGAAAAAACAAAACAAAAGCGATGCACTGATATTTTGATGTTTAGAAAAAATGGTGAGTTTTTGGGCTTCCAGCATAAAATCTGCAACAACCAAAACATGATTGTACTTCTATTATTGCAATTTCCAAATAGGAAGCCCAACTACTAAGAGCCTTTCTGTATAGAAAACATCGTTTTTCATACCTGGATACCTTTTTGCACACTGGGAGTGAAGGAATGCTTCTTCTACATTAATCTATACTGTTTCCCCCCTGTCTGTTCTCAAACTTCCAAAAGCACTTTCCTAATAGTTATTTTTTGACCATTTAAAGCCCTTGATTTCAAAATACACCACAGTACAGTAATTCTGCTCCTCCTAAAGGAAACCTGTACAGACAGAAAACATGGGGACTGCAATTACTGACCACCTAAGAAAACTAGTTGATTGGTAGTCTCTAGCTTCAAACACTTTTTAAATCACTACCTCAGAACATGTTTGCAGAGTAGATACATACTTGTTTCAGGTCAGTAACTGAAAGCACTGAAGTCAAACCAAGCAACCAGTGTTTTTAGTAGGAGTTGTCAGCAGACAAGCCCACATTTTTTCCAATTAAAGGTTTCCTGTAAAAAAAACAACTGTCCTCGGACCCTCCTCCTCCTAATACTTACCTTCTTTCCTTTGCTCACCCACTGCTCCATTCAGGCACTGGGAGAGAGAGGAAAGGAATCCCTGTTTAACCACTTCACTTATACCTTTACACTTCCTTATCGACTGCACAGCAATTTATGAACTGCCATTATGTACCTGTAAGGGGGGGGGGGGGAGGTGGAAAAACAACAAACTATTTAATAATCTAGACAGAGAAGAAAAAAAAAAAGGCTTAAAATAATATTTTTATTTTGGGTAGTGTTCATAAAACGTTATGCAAGTTGCTCTGTTTATAAATACATTTAAATATTTATCTAGCATTGATTGCCATTGCAGGGGGACAGTTTAATAATTAAGCAACCTAGGTTGGTATTGCCACCTACATGACAAACGGAGACAGGCCTGAATCTGCCAGTAGTGGTTGAAAAAAAAAAAAATCTTGGAAATCCTGGAAGTCTCTCCCGTTAGCCAACAAGAGCAGGTTTTCCCAAATTCATCAAGTAAACTGGTGTTCTCTCTGCAATGGTGGTGTTCTCTCTGCAAAGGACAACCTGTCTGTGTTTTAGTTGGTATGGGACTCAGCTTTTCAGATCAAGCCAGTTTTTCTGGGGATTCCTTGTCAAATTATCTGAACCAAACGTGTGGCAGTTCCCTCTGATCAAGTCTTTGAAGACTACCTTGCTTGTCAGTGGTTAGCAGTAGGGATGCACCGATACCACTTTTTTGGGTCTGAGTACGAGTACCGATACTTTTTTTTTATAAGTACTCGCCGATACCAATTACCGATACTTTTTCTTAAAGGGGCAGATATAACTTTTTTTTATGCCATCCTGTGCCCAGCCCACACCTGTAGTGTGGCACAGTTATATCTAATTCTGCATACCTGGCTGTATATTATACATTAAAAAATGTAATATACAGCCAGGTATGCAGAAATAAATATAACTGTTCCACACTATATGTATGCATTATGCACTACAGTGTTCGGGCCTTGACATGTGCTCAGCCTCATCCATTTTCCACCATATGGGGATACAAGGCTTAGTTAGATAGAATAGCAAGCAGTAGTGCATTTTTTTAAAATTTATAAACCTACAGCAGGCAAGTATAACTTTTGAGGCCATCCTGTGCCCACCCCCCCATCCTGTGCCCAGCCCCAGCAGTGCTGCTAACCTTCTTCTCCGTTGTCTCCGTCTGCTTCATCCCCTCGTGTCACAGCCTAGTCATCTGTCAATGCCGGCCTCTTCTCACGCTGATTGGCCGATTGGATGATTGACAGGCTTCCCCACCAATCACGAGTGAGGACAGAGGAATTGAAGGCAGAGTCTGGTTTTCGGCCGTGCGCCCGTGGAGAAGGAGTTTGCCGCCATTTTGCATGAATGCAGACGTGTGCTGTGTGCGGCGGTGGAAGATGGCGGACACAGGTACTCGTTTTGGACATCAGAGCATTTGCACGAGTACCCATGCAAATACTCGGTATCGCGGCCGATACCGATGCTTGTATCGGTATCGGTGCATTCCTAGTTAGCAGGCAGGATTTTTTTTCGTGTTTAAATCTTGGTTCTCCAAATAAAGCGGACTTATAGCCCAGTGACGTTGCTTCTTTCGTACCTCAGAAAGCCTACGGTTCTTTTTTAAGGAACACAGCTTATGGGCACCTGACACTTTACTTACAGTGGTAACATTTTTTATTATCCGGAATTCCTCCTGGTACTTCCTAAGCTCAGCTGGTTCATAAGCATTGTGCAGGAATCTGACTAGCTTGGGATTCTCTTCTCGTCTTAGAGAGGAGGGATTTTCTTCAAGTAATGCAAGGTTTTAGGTCTCAGTTGATCTAACTTGTGGCTTTTAATCACAGAACAAAAAAAAAAAAAAAAAAAAAACCCCCACCGCAATCTTCTCCAGCAGAGTTTAGCACAGAGATGCCCAATATCTATGCTACTGTTGGAGACCACTGAATGGAGGATTCATTGTCTGACGCAGAGTCCCTCCCTTGTATAGAAAAGAAGATTCCGATAGCCAAATATTAGTTGGCACCATTTCTTTCCCTATTACGGTGTCTGGGCTCGGATCTTATTAACCAAAAACGCTCTACCTAGGGGCTTACTCATAACCCATCTACAAAGATTGGAAACACCCAAACATTTCCTTGTACCTAAGCAGTTCTTGAAACTATCCAACTGCAGAGGCTTTTGTCAAGAGATGGTCTAAACCTCCCATAGTCAACCTCCCTGTGTCTCACAATAAAGCTTTGGCTAGTCCCATAGAAGTTGCTCCTGATTGGCTGAGATCCCTAAGCAGGGACCTGGCAGCTCCTGCAGTCAACATTATGTGCAACATAACTTTGGATAATAGCAGTTATGCCTCAGGTAAACCTTTCTTCTATTTAGATCAGCAGGGTACTCTAGCTTTAGAGCTGTTCTGCAGACAAAACAGTGAATGAAGGCCTTGTTAAGCCTACCCTTGAGATGGTCATCTTTTCAGTTCTTCCCTGGACGTAATCAGTAAAGTTGCAAATTCTGGATCATCTCTCTGCTCAGGTTTGTTGTTCTCAGGAAGAATCAAAGCATCTAATAAACATTCTGGAGTTACAAGCAATTCTAAATCAGTCATCTGACCTGGGTTCAAATCAGACAATGCTACATCTGCGGGGGAGGGGCACAAAGAGTGTTCCATGTTTGTTGTGGCGGCGACAGATTTAGGGTCTATTCTGTCATGGACTTAGCTTCAGGTTCCAGCAATCTCCGTACTGCACATTTCCAGAGTGGGGACAACAAGTGGACCTAGGTGTATGGTCTCTCCATCAGGACAGATGTTCCTGGACATATGCCTGCATTGGGGAACAACGGGTGTGGATCCGTTGGCTTCTCAGTTCAACATGTCACTGACCAATTTGTCTGTAGGACGTGGAACCTGATGGCTGACTCAACATATGCCCTGGTGGGGCTGTGGGATCAGTTTGCCCCAATTTACATGTTTCCTCCACTGAATCTTTTACCTCACCTACTTTGAACAATGCTCCATTACCACTCCCAGATTTGTTAATTTAAAAGGACCTATCTCCTACCCAGCTTCTTGATCACTGGGTTTGACAGCCTCGCTGTTGAAACCTAGGTTCCGAGAGATGCTGTAATCCTGATCATGTCAAAAGCTCTTAAAATTTCCCACAAGAATCATAGAAAATGGAAGGCTTATTTTCACTGATGTTAGTGTTTGGGGGATTTCCCACTGTGCCTTTTCAGTGTTCTCCATGCTCTCCCTTTCCTCCAGATAGGCGTTAATCAACATTTAGCCCTTAGAACCATCAAAGTTCAGGTGTCTGCATTGTGTATTCTTTTCCCAAGTCCTCTTAATCATTTGCACCTCTATACAAGGGGTTACCCACATTGCTCTCCCCAATGGGCCTAAACTTCAAACACGGCATTTAAATCTAGTAATGTTGCCGTTACAAAGACCTGCTTTTGAACCTATTCATGACATCCCTTGAGGTTACCATCTCGTAAGTTTGCCCTTCTTGTGGTCATCACTTCAGCCAGAAGGGTTTCTAAGTTAACATTGTCCTGCAAGGAGTCCCATTTAATTTTACATAAACAACGTTATTTTGAGACCTCCTTTTAACCCTAAAGTAGTCTCTGCCTTTCACCTTAATGAGGATATTGTGTCTCCTTTCCCAAGTTTGGCACCTGTTCACCCCAAGGAGATGTCTCTTTCCAGTGCCTGGATGTAGTGAGGGTTGTCAGGTGGGGCAGCGAGTTCTTAGGCTTTTTAGTCATCTAGCCTTTGTGTTGGCTGCAACCTGGTGTTCTGTACATACATTCTCCAAGTTTTATAAGGTAGATGTGCCTGTCTTGTTAGAAGTTAGTTTGGGTCAAAAGGTTCTGCAAGCAGCTATTTAATGCCCTTGGTTTCCATTTTGCTTTGGTTTTCTCTTGCTGGACTGGATGGCCTTTTGTTTGTTTTGGTGTGTCCACTCCTCTGTTTGGATAACCCTAGGTTGTTTAATTATCATAAAGCTGTGTCCCTGAATGGACGATAGAGAAAAAATAGGATTTTTGTACTTGCTGTAAAGTAATTTTCTCAGAGTTTATTGAGGGACACTGCTCCCTCCCCCTCATAGGCTATTCTTCTCTCTTTAGACTGCCGACTACAACTGAGCAGGTATGAGGGGTTATGGCCTCAGAGAGGCTGGCCTTCAGTTTCTACTGTAGTCAACAGTATAACCTTAGGTTCTCAAGATGGGTCCAGTAATCCACTCTAAT